CCGATGATGAACCGATGCAAAGGCTGGACATCTTGTTCTAGCTACAAGCAGGGCGCGGATAAAATTTCTCAAGTGAAACGGCAGGTACGCCGAGTTGATCAGACTTGGTATCCCATGATTGTGGTAGCTTCATCGTTGAGTGCGGTCCCACAATCATGCCGCACTCCCCTGCTGAAAAAAGATAGGAAAGCAAGCTCAGAAAGTACAATCCAAGCTACAAGGGACACACACACACACACTCGAGAAATTGCGTACGGAACTGATCGCCCCAGGCCCCAAGCCCTGAAGAAGCCTAAGTGAAAAAATTGCCCGGGTAACATGTAATGCGGTCTGACCATCTGAGGATTCGATCGGCGCGAACGACGAGTGCATGACTGCGTGCATTAGCCCTTTACAGAAAAGTGGGGTCACAGCTTGAGCAACATGCAGTTCAAAAAGAAGCAGGTACGTCTGGAAAGCGTCCTTTCCAGAATTCAGCCACAATTGAAGCCTCTCCGTTGGGCAATCAACTGCAATGTGGGATTGCCCCCCTGCTTACATCTTAATTCAAAGTGTACAAATCAACAGGTTCCCTGTGATTCCAAGGGCTTCACACACACGCCCCCCACCTGGGAGGGCCGAAAAACTGAGGGGCAAACAATTGTGCATGTGTGCGCGCAAGGGAGACAAAAAGATTGAGACATGAGAAGGAGACAAGACAAGACCAGTGTGTGTGGTTGCGATGCAGGGGAAACCAAGTGCACAGGGACAACCAATGAACCAGGTACGTGTGCGTGTACGTGCTAAGGGCCGGGCCGTTGTGCGCGCAAGAGAAAGAACGGAGTGAGATGACGGAACATGAAGGCAGAAGGACATGAAACGAAAAAGGAAAAAGGTGTGTGTGTGTGGGTGTGTGAAGGGGAAAGGATGACGGGGGAAACCAATTGGAGGGGCCGGAACCAACGAAGCCAGACCTCATTAGAGAAAACCTAGGTAGACCTAGCCTCGTATAAAACGCACACGCTGTGTTTGCACCTAAGGTGCCAGCAGGCCCCAGTGGGCCTTGAAAGAACTTCGGCCGCTGCGGCCACGTTGTGGCTTGCCCGAAGGCTGCCTGCTCTGGTCCACTGTGGACACGTTCTGGCGTGCCCGAATCAGGGCTGCCTACTCAGTTGCAATAATCCGTCAAATCCTGGCAAGTGGTCTCGATAAGATTCTTCCGTCAAGCCTGACATGCCTTCATGTAAACATGGGAGGTCCGACGATGAATCGGATGGGACACTGAGTGACCTGCCGGGCGATGACCGCCATGCACAGAGCAGCCAAGCTCCGTGATCTTGCAAATAAGGCAGCAAGTGGCCTCCGAATATTGAGCAGCAGCCGAGTATGGCCGTGCTTGCGGTGTTTTCTTCGAGTACCACGAGCAAACTGCGACTGTGGGACTGAGCAATGTGGATGGTGTGCATGTGCTTCAGGTGCAATGCACTGAGGTCAGTCCTGCTGTCTCCTCCGATGGTGCATCAACAGGACACCATGCGCCAGGTGTTCCTCACTAAGCTGACTCTCATGTGCGCCAAGCTCCTCTTGACTCTTGGGGGCTGAAGACAAAGAAGTTTGGAAGGTGCCCGAACTGTGGCTACGCGCTGTTCACACATTGTTTGCCTGGACCACGTCCAACACAAATTGCCTGCAGACAGAAGATTTGGTACTGTGGGCAGCCTGCGGGACATGCAGTTTGGTCACTTTTTCTGCATTCGAATTATGCGCACAAATGGGGCCGCAACCATCTTGTTTGGAGGACGGTTTGTTGCATTCCATTCGAAGATGTAGTTTCTTTTGCCTTAGGGCCTTAGGGGTTATGTAGCCAAAGTATTGGAGAGCCGTGATCACCGAGCGGCCGCCTCATCGGCGCTGTCTCAAGTGTGGTCACCGGTGTGGCCTGTTGAACTTGAGCATGTTCTGCGGTTGCGGTCTCCGTTGTGGAAGTGTTTCTGTGCTTCGTTTGCTGCGAAGCTGCGCACTTTTCATGTCATCCTCTCAAACCCACGCTACGCTACAACACACGTGGCTGCCTTTGAGAGCTCCTTAGCCCAAAAGAATGAGTCTGCAGAAGGGCTATGTGAGGCATTGCATGGTTCTTGGCTTGCAGCATTGGGGTGGCAATGCCGGCATCCACTTCGCCGAGCAGCCGCTCTTGTGTGCCTGAAGGGCTCGTTGGAAGACCGGATTTGCGGTAGCCTTTTCCTATTAACTTGCTTCAAGTGACCCTTCTCCAGAGACGCGTTGTTCATGGGTTTCAGTGTGGGGCCACATTTTTTCAGGAGACCGCCTACAGAGAGCTTGGCAAGTGCGGGGTTCTCATTGAGATCGCAGGAGGTGCGCATTTTGATTTTCCATTTTGCAGCCGCTTTGCCAAGTGGCTGCAAGTGACTGCCACTCCTGCCTGGAGAATATCACGATTCCTCCGCACGCAGCTCTGAAGAAAGCCAAGATTTCTGCAATGCTGTTCTGTGAAGTAATTCCGGTTTTCTCCAGAGCTGTGCGCGGAGAAATGAAATAATCCAAGACTTTTCCGAGAATAACTTCCAAGCTTCTTCTGCAGAGCTAGCGACGAAGAAATCTTACAGTTTTTACAGAAAGAATTCAAAGTGCAAGCGTCGAAGTTTATTTGCTTGAGTGACAAGTGGTTGCCAAGTGGCTGCCTGAGCAAGTGGCTGCAAAACAAAAAAACCAAAATGTACGTTATTTGCTCGCTCTCTGGGGATTCTCGCCTCGTGACCCGTGTGGCCCGGAAAACACCTGCAATCGAGAATGGTGGGGCGAGTTTGATAGATCGGGCATCCCAGTAGAGCAGGTGACGCACCAGGGAAGCAGTTCATCCGCACTGTCCCCCCAAAACACGGAACCTCTGTGAGCGATCGCGCAGATGCTCAAACAATTGCTAGATCTTGAAGGTGCTTGCAAGAGTTTCTCGCACTTTTGTCCGGAATGACCAAAAGAGGATGGCCACATGTTGCTGAATCCCTTGCTGAAGTAAACATGTTTTCAGTAGCTGTGGCGTCAACAGATGTTCGGCAAAACGCCGACTGAATTTTGGATGAACTTGGATGGCTCCTGAAGACGTGAAAAATCACCGAGGTCTCGTTAGCTTCTAGGGTTGTGAAGTGCTAGTGTGGAAACGTAATTCTGAGGTGTTTTTTGGTGCTTTGGACATGTTTCCTTCTCCTTAGTCAGGAGCCGTGTTCAAACATACATGTGAGACCTTCCAACTTCTCACTGGTGGCCCTGCGAAAAATAAAGACAAACAATCATGGCATACCCGTGACCATTTCCTCTATGAAATCAGGGGGGTCCACGTGTCCCATAAAACGTTGCATGGTCCCCCCCCTACGGGGGGGTCAGCCCTGGATTCCATAGAGAATATTGAGATTGTGGTGTGTGCTTTGAACAATGAATGGCAATTTTGGCTCCAACAGTAGCATATGAAGTATGAGAAGGTAGGCTGAGGGACCTGAGAGAATGTCTTGGTATGTAACATGTTTCTATCTTTTGCACATCGCGAACACACCGGCCCCGCTCCGCTCACGCTCACGTTCCTGGGCCTAGTAGTGGTAGTAGTAGTAGTAGTAGCAGCAGCAGCAGCAGCAGCAGGAGTAGGAGTAGGAGTAGGAGTAGGAGTAGTAGTAGTAGTAGTAGTAGTAGTAGTAGTAGTAGTAGTAGTCTCGACGTGTTTTTGGCAGTCTAATGTAATCATATTATAATTGGTGAAGGGGGTCCTTCCTGCCATTTTATAGAGAAAATGCGCGCAAGCCCAATGTAATCATATGTATATATAATATTATATAATTGGTGAAGGGGGGTCCTTCCTGCCATTTTATAGAGAAAAGTGCGCACAAGCCCACTGGAGCCTGAGAAGTATGAGAAGGTAGGCTGAGGGACCTGAGAGAATGTCTTGGTATGTAAGCTTTTTCTATCTTTTTCACATCGCCTACCGCTCACCGGAGTCCCTCAACAGGAACATCACGCTCACGTTCCTGGGCCTAGTAGCGGTGTTGTTGTTAGTAGTAGTAGTAGTAGTAGTAGTAGTAGTAGTAGTAGTAGTAGTAGTAGTAGTAGTAGTAGGTAGTGTTCTCGACGTGTTTTTGGGAGTCTAACGTAATCATATGTAATTATAATTGGTGAAGGGGGTCCTTCGTGCCATTTTGTAGAGAAGCCTGGGTGGAGCGGATTGTAACACTATGTAAAACTGTTCGAGTTTGAAAATAATCTGGCCCTTGAAGGTAAGCCCCTCCCATTTATAGAGGAAGACTGGGGTGAAATATGGTAGAATCATGTAGAATCCATTCTGGAATGAAGGAGAGCGCGAGAGAGCCAGATGAGCGCGAGAGAAAAAAACATGCGCCAAACCCAGATTTTGAGTGTCGACACGTTGCAAACAGACGTCAGCCAGAGTGATTCTATACAAAGGCCATTTACGTCAGCCAAGGCCGTTCTATACACCTCCATGTTCCCTGGGGGGTCAGCTCAGCCGTTTCATATCTATAAAATCACCTTTAGGACCCCCCCGGCATTTTGACAAGGGTATATCATGGCTAAGAGCACCAGAAACACACCGCTGTCTATGGCACGTATACCTAGTTAGGCCTCCCAAGCCCGCCCTAACCACCCGGAGGTAGTTGGAGCTGTAAGGTATACAATTGGCATTCGCTGGTGGCCGCCCAAGAATGGCCGACGACACCAGGTAGGGAAAAACTGGTCGGTTTCCTGGTGTTTTGAATCATACTCAGGCTTGCCAAAGACCTTTTTGAATAGGGCAAGCGACAGAGTCATTGATTCACAAGGTTTTCTCTCACTGATTGCTCTGGGTCAATGGGTCTGTGTGAAGCAGGCGGAGTTCGGCAACCTACCGACCCACCAAGAACCACCCCAAACTTGGAATCGTAATTGGGTAGTATATGGTATACGCTGCATACGCTCAGTGCCCGGCTTCGTCGTGGAAACCTAAATATCTATATGCTCGTTCGAATTTTGACATCGTCTAGTACTTGTCCTGTTTGGTCCGCAGGAACTTTGTTTAGTCCGCACGACCCCACCCTGCCAAAAACGGCCACCCCGTGTGTGCCACTGCTTTGCCGCACTCTTCAGGTTCGCGCGGAACACTAGCTGCCGCCGCTGTGGTGCCGCCCGGCCGGGCACGGCGGCGGTGCCCTCTGCAACTCGGAGACTCCATAGGTTTTCCCGGCTCTCCGAAGGAAAGCACCGGCTGAGCGGGACAGGTAGCCTGGTGCTTGAAAGAGATATAAGCGATATTAAGAACATTAAGAGATGCATGATGCCTGGCATTGCCTGGGATGGTGAGTCTATGACTGGGTCGATGGGACCTTGTGAGACATCTGCCTGTTTGGACCCCAGAACATGGGCAGAAGAGGTGGGTCACTGCCGCACTTCGATGCCGCTTCGCTCTGAACGACCCTGGGGTTGATCTCTGGGCCTAGAAGGTCTGACCTGGAGGCGTCTGAGGGGCGCTGGAGCCTCGCAGAATGATTTGAAATTATGTTTTTTGTTCGTCTTTCACTTCTTCAAACCCTACCAATTAGCCCAGAGCTATATACCTGTAGGTTTTGAAGTTTCGACCACTCCAAGGTTTTCAAAGAGTTCAGCTAAGCTGCTGGTATTTTGTAGTTATAGTCTAACAAGTTCAGTCAAAAACCATGAAATCATCACCCCACGCTGGCGGTTGGTAGTTGTCCATTGTTGTAGACCATAAAAACAGAAGAAACACACATTCTTTCTTTTGTGCCATCAAAAGAACGTGTTCACCATCAAAAGAAGTAGTGTAAGGTCCTTGGTAAAACCATATGTTGTTCAAACAAACACTGAAACACGTAAACCTCTGTCTATTGGTGGTGCTTGGAATCCCACCAGGGCCCAACTCTACGCCGCCCAGGGCCACGTGGTCCCCCCGCGGGCGCATTTGCAGCGGAACGCACCCACAGTCGTCGTAGCGGTGCGGTCGGGGTATTGCGGTCTGTGGGGAGGTTGACACGGGGAAGCAACGAAGAGGGTTTCATGGGCCGGTTTATTGCAGTCATACAGAAGCACTTGGGGGGGGAAGCAACGAAGAGGGTTTAACTGTTTTGATGCATAGAGAATTGACAAATCACCCTTGGACCGTCTGGTGACAGTCTGGTGTTTACCTGAATCACCTCGCAGACGTTCGGCCTCATCGGGGGTTGGGCCTCATCCACCGCCGAAATTGGGGGATCTTTTGGCAGGTCGGAGAGTCCGCCCTTGGGGACATCTAACTCTTGAAAGGGATGGAAGTTCCCGAGTTCGACGGGCACCCCAAATGCAAAGAAGTCTACTGAGTTCAATTGAGTTCAATTAATACCTGGACTCCTGCATGGAGCATCTGTTCAGGTTCACCAAAAGACGACCCTACACAAAAAAAAGATGGTGTTCCAATGGTGTTCCATTGGACAGGATGATCCTAGTAAGACATGCTGAGCAATTTGTTTTTTGGACCAGTAAAATATGGTACATGGTAAGAACCCGAGCAATGCATGGTAAGACAAGACCCCACCTTTCTGTCTCGGCCGAGCTTGGCCAGGACAATGCGGGGTTCGTCGAAGGCGACTGGATGTGCGGCCCGGGCAGCATTGCTTCGATCCAGCGAAAACTAGCGAAACGATCCCGTAATCGATCTTTGTATCCCTCCGAGAAAACAGCCCTTGGTCCTCAAATCCATAGGGATTGGAGGGTCTGGACCCCTCCATATGAGGGTACGGCCCTACTTAGGAGGGTCAAGGTCGCGTCTGGGCTGCCAGTTTTTCAACGGCTTAGCAAAGGGTTGAAACATGTTGAAACTTGACACACACACACACAACGGAAACACTGCGAAACTTTCGGCAGCTGTGATTCAAGTGGCTGGGTTTATTAGTCGTTTGCATCTAGACGGGGTCAATTTGGTCTAAGAATAAGGTCCCGGAATTTCAAAGACATGTTTCGTCACTTAATTGTCATTGATCAGCCTGCGACGGGCGCGCGCTTGGCACATGGAGAACTTGAAGAACAGATACTCGGACCAGACTGTCTGATGTAGCAAACATTAAAAGACATCAATGAATCAATGACATAAACTATACATTGGTGGTATTTGATGTATATATTATATGACATATACATCAAATACCACCAAAGTAGAGATCATGTGGAAGATGTGGAACCAGGACCGTATTTATGATCTCTCCGGGCCCCTGCCGAAGTGTTGGGGAGAGCTTCTTGGGTTTTGCGCGGAGGAGCTTCCAAGTATATATTAATGTCTATGGGAGGAGGTCCCTCGGTCCCTCTACCTACAGGAGGGAATAGGAGGGATAAGATATATTGATAAGAAGCAGAAGAACAAGCATTCCACAAGCAGTCCGACACGGAGATAAAGAAACTTGAGTCCCACTGTTGCTCCCAAACTAATCCCTTTGATGTTCACCCCGGGTAGGAGGGGGATTCGTGTATCTACCAAGAAGCCATATATACACACATCAGGTGGTGTGAAAGCAACACACACAGAAAAGGTCATGTGTTTGACGTGACACCCGTCTAAGTACTCCACAGGTGTGAAACCTGGAGCCACACGAATAACTCATTTGTTGCCGGAGGTTTTGGCAAAATGCATGGAACTTCAGTCAAGGGAATTGTCCCAAAAACGAGCTCCCTAGTCCAGGGTGTGCTCGCATTTTCCTTTGAGATTGATCAAGCGCAAGCTTGGTCCACCGTGGAATTTGGGAAGGCCTTGCTTCGCAAAGCCCCAAGGCCTTTTCCACCTCATGGCCCTTCAGGTTCACCCCTGTTCTACCCCAAGCCCAAAGCCCCCAACGGACTCTCCAATTGGCCTCATCGGGCTCTCCAAGGCCTCGCCTGTGGGGACCACCAGTCACTTGGGCAGCGTACCACGTGAAGTTCCGACCCCGTGCGACCTGGGCGCCGTGTGGGTCGCGTTTTCGAGCCGAGCGCCGGTGGGTTCGCGGCGGAGACGGAGGCCCTGGGACCGAGGCGGATCTCGATCTGCATGACAGTTCTGGTTGGGAAGATTCAGTCAAGAATCAAGAAGCAGTGGCTAAATGAAATCAGTGGCTAAATGAGAAGGTCTTGCCTGGGTGGATCGAAGGCTTTCTAAGACCACTGGGTGGATCAGGAAGCGACGATGATGATGAAAACTCGGAAGCGATGTGGGCACCAGGTGTAGGGCACCAGCCCAGAACCTGGTGGTTTTCACTGAGCAAAGCTGCACCGAGCTTGAGGTTGGTTGTTGGTTGAGGTGGACATTCTTTTTTCGCGACTGACACGGTCTGACGGTTTTTTAGTGTTTTCGGTCTTCAATTTCAACATCAGGTAGTGGAAAAACCACCAGTTTGTATAGAGGAAAATGCATTGGTCCATCCAAGGACCAATGCCATGGGTCCTGTGGATTTCGTCCCAGAACGGGCTGGGTCACGGAAGATCCGGGACGTACATCCGGGATGAAGCCATTCGCAACTTCTTCCACTCACGGCACTCGACGTGGAGACATGCGGAGACGGATTCTGCCCACCCGAGACGTAGCCTTTTGGACTCCACGGTGACGTCAGGTGACGTCACTTCTGAAGAGAATATATCTTCTAGCACGGAGCGTGAGGTAGCATCCATCTTCGGTGTCCAAACATGGGTAAACACTAGAATTGTGGACTCTTGATTAAGATACCATGACATTTGGATTAAAGAACCTCTTCATGTTGGATGAACGTCCCTCAAAAACATTCAAAAACCGTCCTAGTTTCTTGACAGCTTCATCCTGTTTCTGGGTTGGACGCTGAAAGCGAAGAAGACCCTGAGGGCCTTTCAGGATCGACTACAGAATCATTCAGAATGCTGGGATCCCCGAACGCTGGGTATCCAAGATCCCATTGGATGTCCCCTCCCCTCCGATCGCATCGCATGTACCCTCCGTGGAGAGCATGGACCCGAAAGGAGGACTATGGAACTCCACTCACGAATAGGGTGGGAACTCCCAGTTGCATGTGAGTTGGAGTGTACTTACCATTTTTGACCACCCCCCCCCCCCACTCTCCGGATAATCACCGAAGGAGGCAAGTATAGCTGCAGCATTGTGCAACCACTTGATGTTTGTAGGCCATTGATGGTTTGTTTCAGCAGGGTACCCTCCTTGCGACCCTGAAACCACCCTGCCAAAGAAGCCCTTGAAACACCTGAGGTTCGCTCGCAACGTCAGCTGTCGTCGCTGCGGCGCGGCCAAGCCCAGCGTGGCCTGGCCACAGCCACCGGGCGACCGCACCGAGTGTCCGAAGACCAACCCGGTGGTTGGACCGGTGGGTCCTCGGAACCGAGGTGGCCGCCCCCAATAGGCCGCTGCGGCTCCTGGCCCAAAAACGGTTCGGTGGTGGACCGCGAGGAGATGGTTGGAGAGCAGTGGTTGGAGCCCTTAGGGTCATACAGACTCTATATATACCAGCACCCTCCAACAGGTGCTTCCTGGTGACAACAGGTGCCCAGAAACCACCTGTTAGGGTCTCCAAACAACCTGTTGGAAGGTGCTGGTATATAATCCCCAGATGAAGATCCAAATGGGGTGACAGAGGTTGAACAGCCTTATAGCCCATCCCATGTCCCTCAGGTCCCATCATAAGGTCTCTCCTCGCTACGAACGGTAGCAAAGGGCATCGCTACGAACGGAGTGTTTGGATGTTTGATCAGTCCGAACAGTCCGTTCAGTTCGTTACATCGCTTGAAAGACGCGGGCCATGATGGGGCCCCCACTCTGTTTCGCTGGTGATTGGGGGCCAAGACATCGCTGGGCATGGCGCCAGCCTACCAAGGCCACTGGCCAGCTGCGGCATGTGCCGCCGGTGATTGAAATCGGTGCGCCTGACGACACACCGGGAGACACCGGGAGAGCGGGAGACTCCGTCGCAACCTGGGCGTCCTTTGCAAGGTTAATGATGAAGTATACTTGGAGTGTTCCTCCAACATCATCTATTGTGGGGATATTGTCCAGAGGACTGGGCAGGATTAGGGTCACAGTCAAGGTGAGCTGACACATGTTGGTGTGCTTAGTCCTTACAACTGCCACACCCAAACCGGGCACCTGACACAGCGACCTTGCTCAACTGACACGCTAAAGCCTTACAACTGCCACACCCAAAGCAGACACCTGACAGAGTAACCTGGCTCAACTGACACGCAAAAAATAGGGAGCTGACACATCTTAACTGAATCAACTGACACTGTGAAAAAAGACAGCTGCCACACTTCAGCAGAAACGCCCAGCCCTTTTTTTCCTCCTGGAAGACGTCCGCTTCCATCCATCCTTGAAACTTGAAGTGGCTTAGGTTTCTAGAAAAGCCTTGAACTCTTTGGCAACATTCGAGTCTGGCTGTTTCAGCATACTCAGCAGCTTGAGCCCTGCCGACTTGGATGGGCGAATGTGCTGCCTCATGACGCCATTCATGCATTTCAGCACAGCAGCTTTCTCAGCCTCACCATCATGAAACCCGCGGCCAATAGTGGAAAGCACCTGAACCAAAAGGTTGGAACCAGACAAATTCATACTCCTATCTAATATATAATGTATATAGTAACATAGTATATATACACTTACTAATATCAAATGTTCGAATGAATCAAATTCAGAATATTGAATGGAGCCAGGGTACAATCAAATCAGCCAGGATCCATTTCACCACCAAGACATTGCCTTGATTCACCATCGTTTTGATCTCATTGATCTCCTTCTCAACTTCTGGAGTGCCAGATAGGCCTGGCCCTGGATGCTCTGGGATTTTGGTCAAATCCTTGGCGATGCTCACAGCACGGGAAGCGGCGGCAATGGTCTTTGTTGCTGCAATGTACAAAGTGTCCGCCGCCTTTTCACCAATTATTAATAAAATGCCCGACTATGAGGTCAAAAAGAAAAGCAACTTCTTGTTTATCACTCCTAGTTACAACAGGCACTTTCATTAATCTCGGTTGCGTTTGGCCATCTGAAGGTGGGAAAATGATGACAAGAGTGTGCCGAACAACGCACACCTGCCAGCTTCCTTTCTCACCACGCACTGTGATCATCTGGGAGGTCTCGTCAAAACCTTCTCTCAGGGATGTAACAAGCGGCTGCTGCTGCCTGCAGAGCAAGTACAATCGTGCGAGCATGTTTGCTTGACGGGCCAGGACTGCTCCAGCTACGATCGCCCTCATATAGCAAACAGTGGCAGGTGACATTCCCAGTGCTAGTGCCTGGCCAGCCTGTGACTTGATTCGCTTTCCATGCTTCCTGTCGCACCCAAATGCACATGTCAAAAAATCTGACATAGCCCACTTGTAAGTATGTTGATTTCCTTTGATTTGGCATTTGGTATTCTTGACCAACATGAGTCCATTCTTTCGGACAAGATTTCCAGCACGACCACGCACAATATGTATCCCAGCATCAGATTTGGAGCGCTTCTGTAGCTGACCAAGGATGCTCAAAAACTGATTCTCTGACCTTACTTCTCGGTGTCGTTGGCGGTGAATCTGCATAGCCATCCCCCAAGCCTTCCGCTCCAATGCTGAGCCTCTGGAATTCAATTTCAACCCGGCCAATGGCTTTGGCCGCTCTGTTCTTTTGCGTCCTCCAATTGTGACCAGTGCTTGAGTTTGCTCATCGAAAGATGGTGTTGGATCATCGGTCTGGGCAACTAATGCCAAGGCCTTCGTAGAATCGCCTCCTCCACCGCCATCAGCGTCATCATCAAAGAAGTCAAGATAGTCCATGACTTTTCATGACTGATGACTGCTCCATGGCGCTTCAAGGTAAGGGGAGAATTAAGAGTCTTAGAGTGAGAGTTGCAAGCCTGGACAAACAGCACTCCTACTCTCCAAGGCTTTCTTCGACCACTTCCTTGCCTAAAACAAATCAAATTCAGGTCGAACCCTGCCTAAATTCTTGGGTTGGGGCTGACACCACAGCCCTTTGAAATCCCTGTGCTGTATGGCTGTATGGGTAGGCAGGTGTTTCCTTTCGGGCAGCATATGTTGCAGCGCCCAAGGAAAGCGAGCGAAATTGCGCGACAAACGCTAGAATGCTACGTAGAAGTATGTGCCAAATCTTGGTCACAATGTGCGGTGGAGGTGTTGTGACAACACGTTGTAGCTGGGTGCTTGTTTCATGAACTTGAGGCAGTAGCGTGACAGAAGTTGTGCTTTCTCATCACTGGTGGGCACAATATCTTGGCATTGGTATTACATTAGCTGGGGCAAAGGTGCTTGCTCCTGTTACCTTGTTAGTGTGGCAGTAGATGTGGCAGTTGTGGAGTGGCAGTGGGGAAGCAGTGTGACAGCTGTGGGGGCGGGAGTGGGGAAGCAGTGTGGCAGCTGTGGGGCGGGAGTGGGGAAGCAGTGTGGCAGCTGTGGGGTGGGAGTGGGGAAGCAGTGTGGCAGCTGTGGAGTGGCAGTGGGGAAGTAGCGTGGCAGCTGTGGGGCGGGAGTGGGGAAGCAGTGTGGCAGCTGTGGAGTGGCAATGGGGGAAGCAGTGTGGCAGTGTGGCAGCTGTAGAGTGTGTAGCCGACACACTCCTGACAATTTTCTTACAATAGACTCCTCTACATCATGTTGGAGCAAATCATCAAAAGTATACAGATCATGAATCTGGATGACTGGATGCCGCAGAAAAGTGCCGTAAATTCTGAATTAGCATGACATCCCCACTGTTCAACTGGTCACATTTCTCACTTTTAAGATTTGTTTGTAGCAATGGCGCCTTTCAGAGGACCCTTGGCGCAACCCTTTGTCACCCGAACAACTGTATAACCTCTTGCAACAGAGGGCTTTGGATCAGATCCCAGGCTGGTGTGGTTAGTCATGTCATGGAGCTCAGCTGCACCAATTTCGCCGATTTCGCCACTCCATGTGAGCCGATCCGCTCAATTGTCAAACAACCATCGACTGGGCTAATCCCTTCTTCCTTACAAAAGAAGTACTCCTTTTATCTCCTTTTAGAGGTCTCATCCCTGGACTAGATCAAGAATGATCAAGAAATACGTTCATGTTTCGCCCCAGCTGCTCTACCCCCGCAGCACCCAGCAGCACGTCCCAAACCACCCCAGCACCGTTTTTCGACCCCCACCACCTCCGTCCGTGCCCGCGTCCGTCCGCGCAGATGGCACGCGCTACATCGCCGCGCCCATCCAACCCACCACGGCGATGTCCGCGGCGGGGGGCCCCGGCGGCCGTCTAGTCGATCCACGACACGATCGAACCACAGCCGGTTCGTTGAGAGCGACCCAGCCGGTCGCATCAACGCAAGAAGTACACCAGCATGGACCCCAAACTGGCAGCTCGATGTTTCGAGCTTAGCAAGTCTGCCGGCCAAAGGTGCTTCGAACTGCGGAGACATCCAGGGACACAAAAAAGAGAGGAAGCAAAATCATGTTGAGAATCCAGAACAGACAGAAGGAGACAAAAGGGACCAAAGGACACAGTGTGGCTAGAACTTATCCCAGCCATCCAGATGGATGTGGACCTGCTGCGAGATGGATGTGGACCTGCCTCTCGCCAGGTTTTACTGGATTCTAGGTTCGATTTGGGTCTTAAAATCAAAGACTCGGAGCTTAAGAATCAGGATGAAACACATTGATGCTTGTAACATGCAAAACACCCACACCCACACACACACACCCAAACACCCTAGCGAAGCAGGCGCTCTATATCAAACACCCGCTGCCGCACCCGAACAACACTCCGTTCCCGAGGTTCGTCCCGGCAACGGACGAGACTTCAAGGCGGGGCACCGTGGGTTTTGGGGGGAACGGGAAGACGCCGGGGAGAAACAGGTGAGGGATGACCGTGAGAGATGAAGGGCGAAACCGGCTGAGACAGGCGAAAAAGGGATCATGCCAGCAACATTGGAACATGCTGTAGAACTGTATACAAGTCGTTTTTTCATATCGGTCCCAGCGGTGGAGAAAAGGATTTTGGGAAACAGACGTCGGCACGCGTCTCCGGGTCGGCCCCGGACCTTTCGCCTCGTTCGCAGGCCGGGGATTGGAAGTGCCCAGCCTGTGGCGATCATCAGCCGGAGGCCCAGTGGGAGCGACGAGCCGGACGGGCCCAGAGGAGCGGAGAAGAGGCCCAGTGCCTCGACTGGGCTTCGAATCGAGGACTGGGTCACCTGAAGAGCGATCTGCGAAAAGGATCAGTGTCCAGTGTCCATGGATCAAAGATGATCAAAGCAATATATATATATATTTAGTATGTGTCGCCATTCATATCCATTCCCCTCTTTCTGCAGGTCAAACTCAGGACTGCAGAGTGTTCCTTTTATGATTCTAAGAGATTCTGATTTTTTATTCTGGCATGGACCATTGACTCCACTGACGTCCATTCATACTCTTTGGACCTGTCTCTACTTTCAGAATCTTTGAGAAATACCCAACAAAGATCAAACAGATCATTGTGCTGCTTCGCTCCGCGCCGCGCCAAGGTTTGAGCGCAACGCGAGCTGTCGCAAGTGGGGGGAAGCCCAGAGCAGGCACTTTTTGTATCTTTTTGTCGTTAATTCTTCATGGCTTGTTGGAACACGCCCAGACACTCCATGTATAGAATATTTACATATGTTTACCTACTTGACCCCCTTTTTAACCACCCCAATGTAATGTATCTAAATATGCCAGTCCCATGGCGCCCGTGAATAACTTCCCAGGAACACGAGATGACTATGAGGACCATGATGAATAACTAAGACTTGGAGGGTCTAAGACATGCTACGAGTTTCGAGCGTACTGGCCGGATCCCACAACCGCTGTCGGGGGGATCCTGGTATGTGTATGTTGTTAATTGTGTAATTATATATAATATACATGCATGTATATTATAGCATTTAATTCGACATCGTCAATTTGTTTATGTATCCATTTGTATGTTCAATAGTGTCCAATAATTTGTTCAGCTCAGTTCAGCATTTGGTCACCCTGCAGCCTCCCTCGCCTCGCGCTCAGGTGTGGCGAACCCAAACCGCTGGCCGGCAACAGCGGCTTCTATTCTGCACCCAGGGGGGCCGCTGCGACGCCATCAGATACGGTAGAAAAGTAGACAACTGACTCCACTATCCACAGCGTTGGCATGTTCCAAAGGGCAGTTGCCGCTCCCTTTCCTTTTCATTTGGCCACTCCCCTTTTTCAGCACACCTCTCTCCGGTCACACACCCGCGTCGTGCTCGATCCGAGCGTGGCCAGCGTGCGTGCTCAGATGCTCGGATCCGAGCGTGGACAGGGACGGGACCGGTCCATGGGACATCCGTTGGACCATCCAAACAAGGGAGTTGACCTGGTTGACTCGGATGAATGTAACATCCCTTGGTTGGTTGATTCGGGATGAAAAGCCAAGCGAATGATGTTGCTGGTTGGCCTAGGTTGGCAGCCTGGGGTTGAAATTGGTTGGGTCTGGACCCGTTCTGACCTGCAACAGTCGACAGTAAACAATTATTGCTATTTTGGAACAAGGCCTGCAACTGAACCATCATCATCCACTGGCCGCCAGGTATTGGGATGGACCCAATTGGGCCCAACATATATACATTTACCCCTATGAAGATGACCCATCCATGTAGGCAACGACCGACTCTCCTTGCATTTCGTCCGAGTGGTTTTTTCCAGGATCGATCCGGGGCTCGAGCGACACGACGATCCGGATCCGTTCAGCGAGTCGTTCACGGAAGGAATCGTTGCCATGGTTTCTGTAGAGGAGACCGCCCCTCAAATGGGGCGAGTCGTCCGAGTGAAAGACATCGTGACACAGTGAACACCGCTGAAGGTTGGATTGGACCAACGCCAGTACCTACTACAGTATTTGAAAACGCTGCCCAATCAAAAAAAACCTAAATACGGAACAAAGCCAAGTTCAGAAACTGGCCCGGGTTCAGAAACTAGGGTTCAGAAACTAAAGCCACGGGTTCAGAAACTACAGTTCAGAAACTTGTTTTGTCGTGTTCAGAAACTGGTTTTGCCGGGTTCAGAAACTGTTTTGCACTAATTCAGAGACCCGGTGTCTTTTTTCTCTTCAGGCACACTGATTGCTTCAGGTACGTTGGGGTGGGTGGGTGGGGGGATATTGACGTATAATGTGTATCTCCACGTTCCTAGTTCCCGAACCCAAGCTTCCGAACTCCATGTTTCGAGTTTCCGAACCCCTGGTTTGAGTCTCCGAACTTTTCCGAAACCCACGTTCTTCAGTTTCTGAAGCCGGGTTTCCGAACCCAACCTTTTAGTTTCCGAACCGGACGCTGACCCCTAAATACTGCTTAATATTGGATTGAGCTCAGAGGTACGAGACCGCCGGGTGGTTTCCCGCGTGTGTCGCGGACGCCGGAGCGACTGCCGAGGTGGCCCCACCATCCGCGGCCCTGCCGGGGTGCTCCTAGCAGCTGGACAATGTGCGATTGGATGAATGGCGGGGGCAGATGGAGGGTTGGCATAGTCAGATAGCCTATTTCATCCTATTTCACATGGAAACTATGTGACAAAACAAAGATAATACACACAAACAATTAAATGTCAGAAGATGGATATACGGTATACATCCTGGACTCTTTTGTGTAGATCCATGTAGATCCGAAGCTTTTTCAGAAAGCGTTGGTGATGGAGCCAGAAGTTTGTGAAAGGGGTACAACGGAAAGAGCCAGAAAGAAAGAAGTGTCCACTCCGACCACCAATACCCAGACACTCCATGTATGCCATATTTGCCTACATGGGGGTGGTTCCAGGGGTCAATGTAGGCATATATGATTGCATATGATTGCCATACATGGAGTGTTTGGGATATGGAAGTGGATGGCATAGTCCCCAGGAAGTCTATTACTTTCCTTTACGAACAGGGGGTTTGGGGTTTTCCACTTCCATGTGATGTGTTCGTCGGAGTGTATACTCTCGTGAGGCAAGGCAGTGTTTGTTTTTGTCCAGCCGCCATCCGAGTCCATGCTGAGTGTCGAAAGATGATCCTCGTCTGGAATGTAGACTCTTGATTAATTTTATAAAGATTCATTCACCCCCCCGGCATTTGGATTGTAAAACCATGTAAAACCTCATCATATCCCAGACACTCCATGTATGGCATATTTACCTACATTGGGGTGGTTTTGGGGGTCAATGTAGGTATATATGGCATACATGGAGTGTCTGGGTATTATGTGGGGTTGAAATGTTTAACGAAGACGTCCACATGAGTCGTTCGGAACGCGCGACACCCGGTCCCCTTCTGGAGAGACCGCCGACGACCAATTCCGTGCATGGATGAACATGACACCCCTGGAGATCGGCGTGTTTCAAGCTAAAAAGAGTTGCACCATTTGCACCATTTGTCCATTTCAGGAGACGTTTTTCAGGAGACGTTGAAAGGAGAGCAAGGCAAGCATACAGTTCTGCCACGTGCCCAATGCGTCCATTGGACGTCTGAAAGATGTGGACCGGCCATTCCATGAAGCCTAAAATGTTTGGGTGCCCCATTCTATTCCAATCAAACATCAAAAGCGTCTCACCGCTTGAGCCAAGCTCTCACCGCTTGAGCTAAGCGCCATGATCGGGTTCAAGACCATCCGGTGGCGAAGCGGGTCGTAGACCGGTCCGCCGTTTGGTCCGGTGTCCAACATCCTTCGGCGGCCGTACGACACCTGGAGTCGCAAACTGATCGGACGTGGTGGAAAGGACACCTGTAAGCACCCGGAGTCGCGGCGGTGGGTTCATCATGTTCAGCCCGGAACTCACCCAGCAAAAGGTTGAGCCTATAGGTCCATTCATGTCCATTCTGTTCAAGTCTCTCGTCAACCTAGCCCGGTTTTGACCTCAAGACTCGCCACGACTTGCCACTCCCACGACGCGTAGCTCGAAGCGACTTAGAGCGACAGAACGACCATCGACCATCAGTCGACGGACTCGTGTGTTTCTATGTGAATATATTTTACCCCATGTGTCATGGATCTCTTTTTGATGAATTTGTTTAGAGGACCGTTTCTTCCACAAAAAGCGAGCCTGTTTAGACGTCAGCTAGGCCATGTCCACCACTCTTTCCAGCCACACCCGGGTGCCGCACCCCGGGCTTTTTCGACGTCGCACCCGGCTTGACCCAGGCAGACATTCAGGCGAGAGCTGCCGTGGCCCCGAGCAGAGGTGCGCCGTGAGGGTTGGAGTCGTGGTGCCTCCCCACCAAAGCATTGGGGGTTGACCTCCGAGCCTCTTACCCTGTGTTACGGTGGGTACTGAGAGTTGAATTTGTATTACTTTCTGTAACGTGAACAATGCGTGAAGCTCTACAAAGTGTGTGCGTGTCCACTATGCTTTATGAATTAGCTACGAATTGTCAAAACGGTTCCACTGTTAAGCTCAAGTGGGCTGGCTTTGTTTCAGGAGAGTGCATCTAATTTGGATATGGATCAGGAAGGTTGGCTAACCCTCCTGGCATGCCTGCGAATTTGTACCCGCGGTCCTTTAGTGTACACTGTGTACACCTTTGTTTAAATGTAATTTCGGAGAGTTGTGGGCATTGCAATATGGGAGATCTATCGATATATGCGCGAGTTGATCCGTCGAGAAGGGCGGATCATGTCTCTCCTCGGAATTTTTCTTCAACACGGTCATTGATTCAACCCAGACCCATTCCCAGACACTCCATGTATGCCATATATGCCTACATTGGGGTGGTGCCAGGGGGGTCAATGGGGCGGCATATATGGCACACATGGAGTGTCTGGGATTGGGGGCCTCGCCTCCCGATTGAAATACACTGAAGAATTCCATCGCCCCAACCGCCTGGGAGCAGCTGGGTCGATGTTGCGAACCTGATGGCGTCGGTGATTTTTCGGGAGGCCGAGATCTGCCATGGGTTTGGTCTGCCCCCTATACTAACAGCATAGTTAACAGCATCTAACAGCTACTAGCACCCCCCCAAAAAAATGCTTGGTGCCCCCATGATCATGGTTTGGTACCCCCTACCCCAAAAAAGCTGGCTCGGCTGAAGACCTGTCCAGACCCATCCAATTCAGATTGGGGTTCGGATTCAGAGCTCGGACCTTCAGCGTGTGAGTCTTGAGGTGGAAGGCATAGGAGAAGACACCAGTCGGGCATCTGAAACCAAGACGGGAGTTGAAACCGACTGAGATGAAGCAAGGTAAAGTATGGTGAAGCAGGAAAACCATGGAAGATGAGGAGATGTTTGTTTTTCATGGTGGAATCTTTAAACATGTGGCGGCAGTGTGGAATGGGTCACCTTAAGCAGCTATAATATGTGTATATGGTGAAAGGAATGGTTCTCAGATCCCGAAGGTCATGCACTAGATGTTCGGTTCACCTCAGCCCCGGTACACCTCATTCTTCAGGTACGTTTTATTTTGGCACCCTGATAGATGCAACGATATATATATATATATATACCCTATAGAAGTCCAAAGACTATATTTTGACCGGCTGAAGTAAAGGAAGTTCCCTTTAAGGTCCCCTAAAGATCATTTTTTAGATAGTCTTTGACTCCCAGGGTCTATATACCGTTACGTTCACCCCACAGGACCGATTCAGCAAACAAAAGAAAGTGTCACCTAGACCTAGACCCCCAAAAAGATACCCAGACACTCCATGTATGCCCATATCTGCCGCCCCATTGGCCCCTCAAACCACCCCAATGTAGGCATATATGGCAGTCCCATGGAGTGTTTGGGATAGACAAAGTAAATCCCCATTCATGTATGATGGACACCGTGCCACTCTCTACTTGGGGACCACTAGTGGACCACTGGGACCACGGTGATCCGGCAGGGGGAACGAGCAGCTTCATGCCGGGCGACTGGAGCTGCCCGGACGGCCCAGATGGAGCGAACGACGTGAGTTAGCGGTAGCGTGATGGGTGGGTGATGAGGTCGATGGACCGGCCCAGAGGTCGCCACCTTAGACAGTTTTGAGACCGTTTTCGATTTAGAATTGGGAATTTATGAAGAGTTCCTGGTGAGTTGGGTTTTGTATTTTTTGTTTGTGTTCCTTTTTCTTCGAGTGGATGATGGTGGATGGCTTCACCCACTCGTCGTGCCTGTCTGATTCGCACGTCAGTCTTGGGCAGCTCCACGAGCACCGTATTCTGCTTCTAGAGTCCTCCAAGCACCATCGGAGCCTGGGCCGTGTTCCAAGCCTCAGCCCGGGTTTTGCGGATCAGGTGATTGACACTCCGACGAACGCGTCACATGGTTACGTGGAAAACCACCTGTTCGTAAAGGAAAGTAGTTTTCCAAGGGACCATGCCATCCACTTCCATGTTAGTGAGCGAGAGAGTATATCTTTCCTATGGCAAAATATCTTCTACCAGGATCATCGGCACCCGGTTGTTGGAAGTGCTAGGTATATTGCATTTTTGTCCTGGTTCCTGGACAGCCAATCCAGAGCAGCTCCGGGGAAAAAGAAGGGAACCTGACATTTTCGGCCACTACAGACTGCCGAAGTGGGGAATGTTAAGCTCCACAACTTCTTTTTTTGGAGTAAGCCGAGTAAGCCAATCAAACGTTGATTTCCACTTCCATATCCCAGACACTCCATGGGACTGCCATATCTGCCGCTCCATTGACCCCTCAAATCACCCCAACTGATCGGCATATATGGCAGTCCCATGGAGTGTTTGGGTACAGCTGAACTGACGTCACGATACTTCCCTCTGGTATGTGTAGTACTCCTATAGAAATCTCTTAGACTCTTTCTCAGCCCCTTCGGTTGAGAAAGACACAGACACGACCAGTAACACCGTTAAAGGTTCAACGCTTTCGCGGACGATCTAAAGGCAGCCGTACACTCCGTGGGTTCTCCCTTCCCTCGTCTCCCGCCGCCGTCCGAACCCGAAGCGCAGGTCCGGGCTGCTTGCGCCCCAGGGAGATGAGAATGGGTTCTGGTGGAATTCCCCGAAGATACTTCATGGGGTTTGGCATATTTACTTACCTGGCATGGGGTGGTTCATGGTGGAAAATAGGGCAGGGATCCATTACACGTCGTATACTTATACATCAGGAGTAAGAAACTTTGGCAATAACTTCACTCGAGAATCTCACTGACATGACTTCTCTTTCCCAATGGAATTCCGGCGATTAATTTCACCCCGAACTAATTTATAATACCATAAATTTACTTCGGGGCTAAATTTATCCGCCGGAATTCCACTGTGATCCCCTGTAGGGTTCTAAGGGGAACGGGTTGTAGGTCATGTATTCACAGGCCTGTTACCAACTTTTGTTCTGCCCGTTGTATATTGTAATTTATATATATATATATTAGATCAATTACAATATACGACGGTATATTGTAATATGATATGGTCCCTCACCATGTGGTCGTATTTTGGATTGGAGGCTGTTCTCTTTGCTGCAAATTTGCATCCAAACTTCGGGGGTGAGACTCAGGAGACATCCTAGCCTTCAGTTCGACCATTAAAAGAGTTGGGTTGACCCGGTGTTGTAGCCTCAAATCCTTCATAACCCAGAGGCTCCATGTATGGTATATATGCCTACATTGGGGTGGTTTGGGGCGGCATATATGGCAGTCCCATGGAGTGTCTGGGTAAAACCATGTTGGTCCGGAATCGATGGTTGGAATCCCAGGGCACACACTCCTGCGTTTCTCGTCGGATGGTTTGTCCGCCCTGGAGAACCACCACTGGTGCAGCTGCAGGAAGCGTTCGTCTTCCAGAGGTTCATTTTTTCAGGTTCCATGTGAGTCTCGTGTACTAGGTGTACTGAAAGAAGAGATCGAGAGGTAGGGTCAAGTGGCATGTAGACGAAACGTCCACCCTTTGACCCTCGCGCTCTGTCATAAGCAGCCGGGCTTGAAAGCTTACAAACATGCGTGGAGGGAGTGTCAGTAAACATGACAGTGGAAGGTACTTCCTGTCAAAAGTCTCTGAATCTTTTGGCTTTTAGCAGTTCTATTTGAGACTGAAAACAACAAAAGGGACAAACAATCGATTCTGTGGGATGAGTTTGGTATCTTGATTGATCCTTTTTAAAGTCTACCAGCACCCGAAGCGACCTTCAGCCATCACGACCGAGACCGAATGAACAAGTGACTTCATGTCCAGCCTGCGCCCAATCCATGTTTGGCATAGATCTCAAAAGCACGTTTCAGCCTTTCGGGTCAACATCCTAGACTTGACTACACCCACATACCAGTAGGCTGTTTCCAGCTGTTTCCTGATGAGTCCGGTGCGCTGTTTCCACACACACCACCGCTGTTTCCAGCCCCTTCGTTCGCTTGGAGCGGTCCGATCCGCCCGGCGAGGTGGCGACCACCAGTTCGGCCGCAACGAGCACTGCCGGAAGTGTGGCACCGCACGGCCGGACGTGCCCAGCAGGCGCCTGTTCGTGCGGGACGAACGGAAGGTGGGCGCTGGAACGTGCGAGCCGTTTGAGCAGCTTGAAGGTGCTAAGCAGAGGGAATGAAAGCGCGGGTCTAGTCTAGTAGTTAGTTCATGCTATAATGAATGCATCGCATGATATCGCATGCATCTTCGCCCATGTCCAATAGATTCAGAGGATATCTGTGGAACCATGGGAGCCATTGTCCTGAACAGTTCAACTTCTATATTGGTTTGTCAAACAACAGGTACCATGACCTTCTCAGTGACCTAACTTGAGATCCCAGAATGAGGTCACAAACAGGCCTTGAAAAGGTCACTTACCAATCCTGAAGAGGTCACTGGGAAGGTCATAGTATTCAGCTATCTAAGGGGCATGTTTGCATGTTTGCAGGGGGTCATGCACCCAACTGATGCGGTTTTTATCTGCCACAAGTCGCGAGTCTCGCGTCAGAGGATACCTCAGACCTCGCTGGCGAGCTTGTTCTTACCACCCCTGTATATTCCAATAACTACTTCCTCTGTATGGGCATCGAATGGGAGTATATAAATGTCTCCAACTCGTCCCGTCCTTCCAAACGGATTCTGTTTCCTCTCCAGTCGACGCGCGCTTCATGCGCGAGCGCGGTCACGCCGCTAGGCCAGTTTTGTCGAGCCTGATGCCTCAGAGTTGCGGACGCGGCTTCGGTGTTGGCACACGGTGGATGTGGTGTCGGGCCGAAAGCCACTTGGGGAAGGAGCTTGCCCACTGGAAAGCCAGGAAAGACCTGATATTCAGTATTCAATATTATTCAATAGTATTCATGGTGCGTGCTCGTATTTCAGGTTGGGGGGGTTGTCCATCAGTGCCTAGACCAGTGGATTTGAGTCTATTCTTCCATTCGAACCCAGAGGTCGAACGTCCGACGGGGGCCGATAGATTGGTTCTGTCTTTTTGGTCGATGATTCCCATGTGCCATGTGCCTCAACAAAAAAGTGCCACCCGCGGAAGGTGAAAGAATCTCAAAGCATGTTGTGGCAATGCTGGACAAATCGTGTTCAGAATCCGATGGGAACCTTGGCGGACACTGGAGGATTCAATGCACACCCATCTCCGAACATTGAACATCTGCCTGGTACAAAGAACATCACCTTCCAACCCCTTAGCTGGTCAGGCTGGTCATGTTTCTATGTTGGTGCTCGCGGTCCGCGCCGGGCAGACCTGCCACTGAGGCAACAACCTATCGATGAAGCCTGGCGACTGGTTGTGCCCCAACAAGGCGGGGGATCACTCCCTCCTCGTGCGCAGAATTTGGCACCACTCTGATCCAGTTTCGCAGGGTTTCTCTGATCTGGTTTGACCAAAGACTTTTGAAGACTGGGTCAGAAGCACCCTGGAGGGGCTGGCGGATTTTCCTTGCGGGGGTTGGAAAGCTGCTGGGGACTTCCAAATCTCCAGGTGTTTGTATTCTTTTTGGAGTCAAAGCCTTCGGTGTAAACTGCTTCCTCAAGACGCATCAGAGTCGAATCCGAAGGTTCCTGACAGATCCAGCAAGTTGGCCAATGTTTGAACAATGGTATCCTGCAAAAACAAGACCGTGTAAGAACAACCCTGGCCAGGCACAGTTGACCTTCACTGTCGTTGCACAGAGGAAAGCTTGCTCGTTCAAGGACCATGCCACTTCAGCATTCTGCCTCTTGAGAAAGCACTAAGCAGTTATGAAGACGCTTCTGCGCTTCCACTCGCCATATGGTCGGTTGCCCTTTGTAGGTATGCCGCATGCCTGCTATCCACAAGCAACCACAGGCAAGTAAGGCAGGCACGATCACAACACAAAGATGGAGTCCTCCTACCACAAAGCACCGGTTAACCAGAGTTTTGGGCGCGCCTCACACGGTGCAGCATCATGAACATTCATCATTACGACCGTTGGAGATTGCTCAATTTTTGCACCAAAGTTGGTAGCTAGACCCCGCAAGATGGATGTACATATACACCCTGGGATTCCAACAGCCATTAGAATTAGTTTTACTGGTCTTTGCCAAAGAACCAATATTTGTAATTCAAAGGCTATAGGGTATATGGAGTCCCATACATATATACCAGCACCTTCAAGGGGTGGTTAATGGACACCCCTTAACAGCTAAGGGGCTATTAATAGACACCTCTTGGAGGGTCCTGGTATATTTATATATAATATATACTCGCATGGAATTCTTGTTGAGTCACCCCAGCCCCCCAGCTTCCTTGGATTCGTGACTCTCGTCCGCCGTCGCCTCCTCGCCTCGCCAGAGCTGCAACGATATGCAGTTCGCGCGGAACGAGCACTGTCGAAAGCCGGCGGTCCCAGTTCGCGCCGCGCCGAGCGTCCCGGGTTCGTGCCGCGGCGTGGCACGTGGGGTGGGCAAAGAGTGGGGCAGATGATCCTCATGCATTGTGTGGAGGCATGAGTGTATCTCATCAAGACTGAGCGGGCCCCGCACAACAGGGGCCCTGCCATGCCTGTTCCATTCCAAGAATGGAGCTGCAATGAACTGCTGGTTTTCAACGTTGGTTGGGGGTAAAGGACATGCACATCATTCGGGAGCTTTTTGTTGATTCATGTGTGGATTTGGCCAGGGTTGCGAATTGAAACACCCCAGCAAAGTGGGGGCACATCGGTTGGTTGGAGGAACAAGAACACTTGCTCCTTACTAGTACCAGCCCTTTTTGGTGGCCTGCACCCCTCCACCCAATGTGATTGTCACAGGAAAAAACCCGGAAGGATGGGTCCAAAGACTCAGAAAAGCCTTATCTGTGATCGATTCTACGTTCTTCGATCCATTCTGCACCGTGCACTCATGACCGTGGAGTGTGTTGTGACCCCCGAAACAGGAGGGAGTTCCCACCAAAGCTCTTGCAGTTTCACGTCCGACACTTCGAACTGGATGGGAGACGGCCACGACCCCCTGGGTGATCACCTGGGCAGAAAAGCACATGTGGGTGAAGCTTTGCTTGCTGGTGGCTGAAGCACGTTAAGTTTAACAGTTCGGAAGCCTACATTTGAAGAGTATTTCAAAACATTTTTATTTTTATTTTTTTAAATTTGGATATGATCTGGGTTTACAGTTTTATTACACCCTTTTACTAAAGCCGCAATTAGATTATGCGGTACTGTTGGGTGCTCACTGTGCCCTTCCTGTGACCATGCAGCCGCCGCTGGAAGATCTCAAGGATCCGGTTTTGGGGCTCCTCTTCAATATTCCTGGTTGGGTGTTTTATGTGGGTTTGCGGGTACTTGTGAGGAGGGCGCAGGGCCTAGGGCGGGGCGTTTGATGGCAATCCCCTAGAGGCCCGACACCAGACCCACACCCTTGTGCAAAGTGTATTCTTCCCCACAAACAAAACCTGGAGCTCTGGAGCCACCGTATTTTTTTCTGTAAAGAATCCATGCATATAGAAACCATAAACCACACGGATGGTTTTTTATATGATTTATACCCTTCTCCAACTTTTCAACTCATAAAACTACCGATCTGCCCAAACCATTAAAGAAACATAAAACACACTGTGCTTTAATGATTTGCATCCTTCTCCAACAACATGGATTAGTATTGATATTTTTATGGCCTTTTTCAGGCCCTATGAGGTGAGCCGAAGCACGTGCCAGACATACCCAAGTGTGTTGCCTGGGGGCCTAGAGTTCCCCTGAATGAGAGTTTCCAGCTTGCCCACCGACAGCACATTCTGCTTATTGCGCCTATTTAATAAGCCTATTTAGTAAATTTAGTAGTCCTCTATAGCTATTTAAAAAAAACACATAAAATATCATAAATTCAAATTTAGCCTTTTTCACAACGATTAAACAAACATATCTACAGCCTATATACAAAAAATATAAACAATAAAAACATATTTCTGGAAATGAGCCCTGTGCAGAGTTTATGAAGTCATAACGTTAAGTGCCAAGGCTTTGCCAAGGCTTTTGTGTGTGTTCTTTGTTTACGTTACAGTAAATATTTTGTATTTTTTCACAAAAGCCTTGGCAAGAAGTATTTGCTTGAAAAGTTCAAATCCTTGGCAAGGAGAACTTGTCAAGGAGGTGTGTTTAAAGCTAATATTCAGATTCATATATATATATATAATCTATAGTTATATTCATTCTTGTGGTTCTATTTCCAGGGAGAGTCATACCCATCCAACCACACACCAGACAAACACCCCGCGGAATTGATAGGTGTCCTGGTTCTCGAAGTAAACAGCCTGGACGAGCGACGCACAAGCGCTGGGCTTGTGAAGACTCAATCTTCAAGAACCAAATGCATTTCAAAGGTTCACTCCCCAAAGAACCTTAAATCCAATCTCACGTGCACCTGGCCCGCGCACCTTTAGGCGCAAGCACTCTTTTCTTGCGCATGCAAGGATTGAAGGCAAACCATGCCAACAATGCACCGGTTGCAACAATCGTGTCCAAGCGATTGTGCTCCAAGCAGCGATTGTGCTCTAAGCAGCCGGAAGGCACACGCGCAATCACACACACACATACTGTTTTGTACTATCTAACCCCTAGACTTCCAAGACCATTAAAAACATGGCTGACCTGGTTCTTGTAGTGTAAAATCCTTAGTTGATTCGGGATTCAGCCTATTAAACTAATGGTTGTTGGAAGCCTAGGGAAACTATTTATGAGATAATTAAGTACTTTGAGGCTACATGAGGCTACTGGCTAGACCAACAGCTGAAGAAGTGACAAAGAACACATATGACCTGCCAGGTGTGGCACGCCCCGCCCGGACATGGACGACCTCGCCCGGTCGCGGTCCCCCGTGCGGGGATACTGAGCACGGTCCATGCCCGTCGGGGCCCCCGGAAGTCGGTTCGCTTTGGAGGGTTGGAGGGAAGAAATTCAAGAGAACGTCCACCAGAATCGTTTTTTTCCCAATCCGTTTTTTTTTGTTGGAGGTACTTTTGATCAACAGTGTACTATTAGAGGTGATTTGTTTGAGTATGGAATGTGCTGTACACTGTGGGACTCTTGCGGATTGTGCGAATTGTTGGTGATGTGTGGCTGTTCTTGAGGGTTCTTGTTTGTTGCATTGCATGATAGCTATATACTACTTCCCAAGGGCACGAATTGATTTGCGAATCATAGACCAAGGTTAAGGGTTTGAGGGTCCAACGGCCGTGTTCAGAGGTTCAAATGATGTTCAGAAAACGATCTTCAATTGATGCTTCAAATAATACATGTATATACATGTGCTCCATGAAAATCATGTCGTGAGCGATGAAGGTGTAAAGTTCTGTGTGAGTATGCTGCACCCAGTGCTGCACCCAATGGGGAGTCTCTCGAGGGGTGTTGGAACCAGTCATCTATAATTGATGTGGTGATTGTCCATCTTGAACCACGTGTCAAAGCAGGCTGACCGAAGCGACGATGTCAGACTGTATGTCAGCCAGATGTTTGTAGCTTCATGAGAGGACGATGTTTCTCTTCTTCATGCAGTTGTAATGACCCTTTACACTTCTCACTGGGATTGAGCTCCCCATTTCGCTTGAGAAGGACACAGAAGTTGGTCCGAAGTAAAGAATTAAGATGAGAAAGATCATTAGAGCCTCCCCTGCACTGGCCCTGCACCTCCAAACGATGTGGCTTACCAAACGATCTGCGGGAAAACGACCTGAACATCGTCTTCCGTCGAACTCTTCGTTTCCTGTGGGCCACTCCACTGGGCCCAAGATGGCGGGCACGGGGAGGTTTACATGGCGGGGTGCAGATTCGGGACGCTTTGGGCCGAGTTCTGGGTCGAAGGAGTGGCAGGGGTGGCAGGGGTGGGGGACGTTCTGGGGGTAGAAGGTGGAAGGGAGAAGGAAGGATTTGGGTCTGGGAGAAAACTGCGTGACCAAATCGTGAAGGTGTCACAGTCTCAATGGTGGGGGAGGAAGTTCCTAATAGAATGTCTGGTGTGAGCTGAGCTGCACATGTGGGGTTTAGAATCACCCAAATCGGGATGTAAGTGCACATGCCCGGATCATGGTGCCCAAAGAACGCTGCTGAACGGGGGATGGTCCCGTCCAACAAGCACTTCGAACCGGGAAAGGCCTTTGAAGAGGAGGAGGGAGGTGGTCAGCTGCTCTCTCTCTCTCTCTTTTTTTTCTCTCTCTGTCTCTCTGTCCCTCTCTCTCTCTGTCCCTCCCTCCCTCCCCCCCTCCCCTCCCTCCCTCCCTCCCTCGCTGTCTGTCTGTCTGTCTGTCTGTCCGTCCGTCCGTCCGTCCGTCCGCCGGTCTGTCTGTCTGTCCGTCTGTCTGTCGGTCTGTCTGTCTTTTTGTTCGCTCTTTGCGAGACGGATCGACGGGTGAACCGACAGTCGAAACATGAATTCACCGTTTCGATGGAAACATCGGGGGTTAACATATGTTACCATATCGAAAACTCACATGTGTCATCATGTGTCCATGACCTGGAGGCGCACTGGAGGACTGCTATCCTTCACAAAGGGGTGTTCAGAGAATTTCAGGGTCTCTTAGTTTTGGGAGAATAGGGAAAATCATAATGATGAAAAACAATTAGGCCTAAATATGTCCGCGTATTTTTATGGTCTATTTGTTAAGACGTCTTTTTGTTATTCTCGTTCATTGTTAGTTTTGGGAAGCAGGGAATAACAGCACCAACTCCTTTTTGGGGCAGCAAGCCGTCCTGTTGCCCAGCTCCGCGAACCTCACCTAAGATCCTGGAAAAGCGTTTTCTCGGGTCCATAGGTGAGCGACACTTCACCATGAGTTGGGTCGAAGGGACACCACGAGGGGCCCATCGGCGACGGGTGCGTTTGCTCCTATCCACCGTTCGTTCGCTCTAATCATCGGAAGTCGCCAAGGCGTCGTTTTCGTTTCAACTCGGAAGACCATGTGAAATCCAATCACCAAGCAAAAGCCCCATGTTTCATCAACCCCCTCCCGAGCTGGGCTCGAGCTGGGCTGGATTATTCAAGGGAGGTTGCTTAATTAATCCTGTGTCAACATTACCAAACAAAAAAGGTGCCCTTCGACGCTCCGCGACCATGGACCCTCCGTCGGCCGTTGGGGGCCTTTTTTTCCGAAATCCGGCACCAATCCCTCGTTCGTTTGGTGACCGGGACCGGGTTGGAGGCCTGGTGGACCGAGTGTGGTGATGGATTTGGACCCACTTCCAGAGACGTGGTGAAACAACGAGTGGACGAACGTCGGTTCCACGAATCGACGGTTCGCACGACGGAACCCGCGCCGCGAACGAATGGGGTTTTCATCACTTAATCACCATGGGGGAACCACTGAGTGAAGCAACCGGCAGCGAGCTTGGATCGAAGATGCTGGTGCTGTGCGTCCCTGGTGTGTGGCGTTTGTTTCGCTTTGCTCGTCATGATGGAGACTTATATCATAGGCCGTGAAGACCATCTAAGAAGACAGGCCGCTCTTTTCAGCCGCTCTTTTCAGCTTTCATGGATTTGTAATACACAGATTGACAGAGCAGGTCGACATAAAGAATCCCCCAAAGATCAGACCCGTTCAGCTCGGTGCAGTTGAAGGACCCATCCTACTTTGGACCCATCCAGTGGATCGGCTCCGGCACCCCTGGTGGATGTTCCATTTGCTTTGTGTTTGTCATCAGGCGTCTGGACTCCATCCCCTCCTCCTTCGGAACTTGAATCGGCTTGAGTTGTCCCCAAACAAATCCCAGGTTCCACGATGAAAGCCCATGGACCACTGATCTCCTCCCGCTCAGGATCCGCAAAAAGCATTTGCCGCGCCGCAGGGCGGCGCATGCTGAATTTCTGCTTATGAGCCCCCGCCGATGGTGGGTGAACACATAAAGAACAAGTAGTAGCTGCCACATGCCCAGCGAACTCGTGCGATGAGGCACCACAGAGTCTAGCTTGTTGGCGCTCAATTCAGGGTGACTCATCACCGAAAAGGGGAAGATCATGGTGAATTGTGAATCTGGACATTGACATGTTCCAACACATCGATCATCACTTGCAGCTCCGGGATGGCTAGTGGATGTTATTGGGGTTAGGGGCATGATCCACTCACTGGATGGGTCTAATCACGGCAACTTGGAACTTGTGGTGTGTATATAACATAATTGTATATATATATATATGCCCTGTGGATCCACATAGCTTCTGAGAAGGTGATTGGAGACACTGTTATGTAGGCTTGGAGGGCCCAAATACCTTCTGAGAAGGTATGTGGATCCACAGGGATATATATATATGTATATATATAAATTTGGTGACATTTGGTAGATGACTTGCCAGCTTCTCCGTTCTAAGTCTTTCCAAAGACTTTCCACCACAGAAAGAGCATCGAATGCTTTTTGCCCCGAACCGGACGGCGCATCACGCATGAGTTCGATGCTGGGCCGTTTCGGGCGGCTCGAGTGACTGGTGACCTGGTCTTCTGAGCACGGCAACAAGCCTGAGCGACCCACAGGGATGGTGCCGAGATGCCCCCGAACGAAACACCATCCCTGGACGGAGGGATGAACTGAAGGTGGTGCAAACGAAACCTACCACCATCAAACCTAAACACCACCGGTGTTTTTCTCCCCTGGACGGTTAGCCATGCCTTAGCCATGAGCGAGTCATGGTGTTATGTTCATGATGGGAGATTCATCCCGTGGAGGTGTCATGTTGACACTAGGTCCGGAGAGAGCTGAAGGGGAAGCTGTGTGCCGTATTGTCCGAACTCAAGAGGGAACCCCAGAGGGTAGCCGAAAGGGCTGAGAAGCACGGACACTGGAGGGCAGCACTTCGCTCCAGTCACTGATTCAGAAAGGCAGGAGAGAAGAGGTCCGCCTGTTTGCAAACATGGAAGAATCTGCGGGGAGTGTCACATCCACATCAGCTTGATTTGGGGGGTCTGATGGCAGTGATGATCCGCTAAGCTGCTACTTGAAATGGTTGGTCCAAGCCAAGAGCTTGATCGTCCTGTTTGATTTTCTGCAGGTTTACTGGAACTTACATGGTTACGTGGATGGAAAACGACCCTGAAATTATGGACCAAACAGCAAAATGTGTCATCCACCAACATGGGGGGGTGTCGTTTCCACGTCACCATGTGACTTCCAAGAGATTGTCTGGACCCCCCCCAAAAAGTCGCATGGAACTCACGGGAGGATTTCGTCCGCAGATTCACCGGAGTTCTCGGGATGTGAGCGAGAAGAACAACAACGGCGGGTTCTGAGCCGTAACGGCTTGAGTACAACAACATCAGTGAAAGTGCTTGAGGAAAAAACAGGTCCAGACTTGTGCTTGTCATAGCCTCCAGCTACTCATCGATGGGTCGCTACTCATGAAGATGGTCAAAATGACTCACAATCGGGACGGGTGATCCTGGAGGTATACCTCTGATCAACATTTTACCCAGGTTTACCATTAATGATTGGTGTCCTTGTCAAAACCTCGTAGATAAGGTTGTAAAGCACGACTTCTTGCACAAGGGAAAAGGAAACCCCCGGCAAGTGGGCTAAAGCCGGATAGGCAGCTTAGCATGTTGTTGTCATTCCGCTTTGGGTTGTGGCAGGCCTTGTGTGCTTTTTGTGGATTTTGTATCCAGAGTGTCAAATAGTTTCCTATACCAAGCACTGCAGAAACAAGGTGCTTGCAGATGGCCCCTGCATTTTGGGGAGTAAAGGAATGAACAAAAGGGATGCTTCAATCACTGGATCGACAGAGTTTGCTGCTTGGATCCATCTGCTATCCAGCATTTGGAGAGTTTGGACGACGGTGGACGAAATGTCATGTCATGTCTAATTATCACCTCACATGATTAAAACATTAACCTTAGGGGCCTGCCCTTTACAAAGACCTACTGGTATTCTGAGTCTTCTTCGGATCTGAAAACGGCCTGCTTGTCTGGCTTGTCCAGCGCCGAGCTGCCATGGGCTTCGGGTTGTTGAGTCGGCGCAAGCTGTTTGACGCAGAATGATGCGGCGTGTGAATCGAATAACATGGCGTAACATTTCCCAAATGCAGAATGGTATAGGGTATATTTGTTGTTTAAAACAGTTACCTAGTGTATATAGTTCCATGCAAAATTGTGCCCAAGCCTCCATTGCATGTTTGCTGGAGTTCTGGAGTTTGCACACACTTTCAAGAAAACATAGATGATGAGGTCATGTTTTAGTGAACAAAACACTTGGTTTTGCCAGCACATCCCTGTCATGAACAGCTCTTTGATGTCGCCAGAGCAAGATTTCCAGCGACAGCAAAGCCGAAAGAAGGAGACCTTCATCAACTCATGAACCGACAAACATTGGAGTTAGAGTCCTTTTGATTTTCAAGTTTCGTCCCCTTTAGGTCAACTCGCAGCTTCACCCGTGATCCAAAACCAAACAACTTGACACTCCTGAAAACCACGGCCGCCCACAGATGTGAACCTCCAAGCGATGTGAAGCCAGCGACCCTCCTATTGTCATCTCGTTCACTTTCACCGAGACATTACAGCCATGCGACATTCAAGACGTGCGGTCCAGGTACCGAGTTTCGGTGCGGGGTGGGTAGACTGCGATGAGTTGAGATGGCCAAGCTCTTTGAAGAAGTGGTGGGTAGCGCGTGCCTTGGAAAGCAGGGCAGATCTGGTAACAGTTCAGCCATGTGTCCGACGTTTTTCAAGCGACGTTCTTGGTGTTCTTCGTTGGCCATGGCTGAGCCATCAATGGCTGGGTCCTGTGAGTTGGTGGAAGGTGGGCCCGATGATGTGGGCAGCAGTGCGACCCGTTGGTCGTACCAAGGGTCCAAGGGTCCCATTTGGCAGTCGGTCGTTGCTCCACATTTGGTCAAGTGTCCTGACGATTTGAATAGGGCGACCTCCCAGGCGACCAGAAGGGAAATAGACCAGTCTATCCGTTGAAACGAACAGGTACAAAATGATACAGGTCACATAATGTCACATATACAAAAAGGATAGTCGCATGTTCTATAGTTGATGATGTAGGGTTGAGCAACCACCCCAGTGGGACCTGGGAGTCTCTTCTGCATGTTTCTTGGACGGCACTGTAGACTGTAAGGGTGTCCAGATTGCAGGCTGGTGTTCCAGATTCCAGGCTGGGGTTCCAGATTCCAGGCTGGTGTTCACCCAAACGTTTGAAGATGGCTGGCAGCTGCCGTTGTGCATTCCTTTGCCTCCCAGTTTGAACATTCCGTAGGCCGTTTTGCGTTGGCCATCGCACAATTACATTAACTGGAGAGAGAGAGAGAGAGAGACAGTTTGAAGCATGGGCCTGAACTTGTTCCATGGTAATGTAATAATGCCTACTAGAACCCAGAATGACTCTAATTGCTAATAACCTTTTTCCGTCTTCCTCCCAGCAGAAGTACTTATCATCTTTCTGCTACTCTCAATCTTCTTCGGTGCAGGTGGCATCTCGTTTTCCCCAGAAACCGTCCACGGCCTAGGCCACTGGCGACCGCTGACATCATCATACACTTTAGTCCTCCAGGTGCACGAGTTCCAGCGGAACACGACCGGGGTCGGCAGTTGGGGCAACAAAGGTTCGAGACGTGAGTTTTTGGAGAAGGACCCACTCTGGTGCTTCTCAATTCTCCATTCATGTGACAAGGATCAACCCTTCAACTGCAGTGGCAGAAAAAACAGGGGGTGCTAACGGAGTGTTGAGCATCACCTTCTTTTGCCTTTCCCTTTTCTCTCACGGCAAACACCACCTGCCCAGCAACTATAGATTGAATTCTATTGAACCCCAGACACTCCATGGGACTGCCATATATGCCGATCAGTTGGGGTGGTGGGTTTGAGGGGTCAATGGGGCGGCAGAACTATGGCAGTCCCATGGGTCGTGTCTGGGAACGATTAACAAATGCAGAGATATGACCAGCCATCGTGAACCCGCTTGCGAGCTCGCTCCGCCGATATATACGTCACCAACATGATGGCCTCTACCCAGTGGTTGCTGCACAGGCAAGCAAACAGGTCCAAAAGACGACCATCCCAAAGGTCCTGCTTCTTAAGAAATTAGTGGTGTTTGTGGCTGCACAGTCTAAGTATGTCTAAGTCAATGGCAGTAAGTCTATGGAACCCTGCTTCTCACCCTGTTCTCACGCCTTTTCTCACCATGTTTGGTGATGGCCTGCATGTTTGGTCGGTCTGTTCCGCCACCGCTCAACCGCTGTGATGCCACGGCATCCGGGTGTCGGCATCCTGTTGTGCTGCGGATCGTGGGAGGTGAATGCACCCAAACTCATTGTTTTCTTTTACCAACAAAAATGGTGACCATCCGATCCCCCAAAAGTGATGATATATATAAACATCCCCTGGGGCTCCAAGTACCTCCTCAGAAGGTATGACTGGACCCTCTAAACCCACCCCAAACACCTTCCTAGAAGGTACTTGGAGCCCTAGGGATCGACAACCATATCATTTCTTTGGAGATGACATACTGTATTAACATGAATTCATGATGTGTCATGTGTGTCATCATCAGAGTTTTGCATCTATAGCTTTCATCCATGTGTTCACCCCAAATATATGAAACAGATTGAACAAAAAACACATCATAATTTGTTAAATCATCACAGAAAGACATATTTGTTGTTAATAGTCATGAAGAACACCCAGACGGTCGTTGTTTCGCTTCGGACGCGAGGTGGCGATCACCCACCGGCCCTGTTGGCCACGCCGCCCGTGGCCTGGGCGCCCCAGGGGCGCTGGGCGCCTGCTTGCGCGGCCAAGTAGACCCAGAGCATCCTGGGTCAAGGGCCTATATTTATATACCTTGGGATGGTTGACATGGGTGGTCAATGTAATTAATAGTCATGCATATAGAATATTCATGAATATTCACATAGTACTGCAGTGTATATATACTGTATCATATTCTCATGCATGGTTTGGGATAGGTGGTGGGTGTTTGGGGAGCCTTTTGAAAGAGCCGGGCAGCGACCTACCAGCTTCGTCCGCCGCATCGCGAAACGCCTCCACCCCAACCCGGGCAAGGGTGGGTAAGGGTGGGTATGTCATGGATCCAGAGGGCTTGAACAAGCTTTTTTGGGCTTTCATTTCCAGGGAAAGGAGTTCAGGAGTCGGTCGGGCACCTTGCATGACAAACAGGCCAGCACGCAGTCGCCACGATTTGGCTCAAGAGTCAGGCTTTTCTGGGGAAGGCAGATGACATGCCTTCGCAGTTGGTCCATTCTGGCTTTGCTCACCATTTCCAGAGCTGATGAGGCCATTTTTGATGTGGGAGTCGTTCGTTTGGGGTGTTTGTGGTTGGGAGGGGGTGGGAGCATGTGGGAGCCGGTTTTGGTTGGTTGGATCGCATGCATCGCATCATCGCATGCTCGCATTGCATGCGGCCACCGATTCTTCGCACAGGACTTTGCTGCAGGTTTTGGCAGACCAGCTACCAGCCCACAAGTGAATCTCTGTGTTCTTTTCCTTTCCTGCTTCCTGCTTCCCCCATCCCGTCCCTTCCCTTTGTTTTTTTTTTCTCTCTCTCTCTCTCCTTCCCTGCGATCCAAAGCGTTTGGCTCTCTGGTTGTACTCCTTTGGACTCCTTCGGCACTCGGACGCGGTTCGAGGCCCTTCGTGACGTGAAGCGCCACGTGGTCGTGGAGACCAACGGCATCGTGCGCCGCTCGAGCTGGGCTCAGCCACCAAGCCTCAAGGCGCCAGGTTGGCGGGGACCGCTGGACCGCTGGGTACTGGGTAAAAAGTGTTGATCAAAACATGGGTTGAAAGAAAAAGGAGCACATGAATCTAGTATAGGATCTTATATACTGGTATTTGATGGTATTTGCCACTGACATGTTGGAGGGCGTTTTGGGGGGCAAGCAAGATCTGTCAGACCAGATCATAAGGGAATGCGACTTCTTGTAGTTCTGGCGTAATTTTTGTATATCTCAGTGTTCTCTTATGTGAACATTCATATTCTCTTGTTTCAATCTATGACGACTCGTTGCCCCTTCTTTCCAACTTGCGTTTGCTACGTTCCAGGTGAAGTGCCACACCACGAAAGGCGGGAGGGCTCCGCCCCCCGGGTGTTCAAGTCTCCCCTCTGCGCCGCACCCGGCTGTTCCGCCGATGTTTTTCGTCGATGCCCAGTGGTTTTGAGGGTCGGGCTCGTGCTGCGAAGAGGGTTTTGAGATGTTTTGAGCTCGGGTCCCTACGAATTGGATCGGGAATGGGCCCGGCGGTCCGTATGGCCAAGGTTCAAAGTCCTGGAGTGAGGTCTCAGCCACACACGTAGAACCATGCTTTCAGTCCCACACGTAGAACCAGAGCCCAGCTTGGATCTGGTTCTTAGATAACCATGCACTTCCAGTACTCTCCCAATAGGTTTCTCCTCGCAAACGTTGATAGAGGGTGCTGATTGAGCGTTTGGGATTTTGTGCGATACAGATCGATACAGTATATAATTTGTCGCTATCGGGAAATCTGGGCCCCGGCGGCCCCAGAGGAGAGCAGCACACATGAGAGCACACATATGAGAGCTAATATACATAATAATATATATATATATATACATGAGGGCACATCATCCGCATGAAGTTGAACCTTCCTCACAATTGCTGGATACACTGAGTGATGAATGAATTACCATCCCACGTTGTTCGAACCAAACAACTCGGAATGTCGAATCGCAGATCAAGACGCACCTTTTGCCCGCGAGTCCTCATGCCCTTTATCGCTTTACCAAATCATCTCTGAATTTCAGTGACTTGAACCTCCCAACCTCGCTCCCCAAGAAAAGCATGCCGCTTGATTCAACTCCCTCCACTCCGCGTTCCGCGCTCACGGTGCGCGAGTCGGCGCGGCGCGCGTGAGTCGGCGCGGCCTGTGCATCGTCCAGGCCTTTTGCATCTTCAATTGGATCCCTCGAAGTCTCCTGCAGGAGTGCGGCGCTTCGTGGATCTCGTGCCCTGGATGGCGCTCAGAAGGGAGAACGGTTGACTCAGACTCTGCTTGGACCTCGTCTCGGCTCTCTCTGCAACGTGCGAGTCTGCGTAGGTCCAGGGTTTGGGTTGGTATATGCGTCCGGAGGACGGGACGAGGAGCAAGCAGTTTGAGACTGCCTAAAACCCCATGCGAACATATGCGAACCAAGTCAATCACACAGGAAGCAAACCAGGTCAGATGGTGTCTAGGCTTCCAGATGTTTGGCGAATTGAATCTATAAGTCTATATAGTAAGGCTTTATGAACACGGTGTGCGCCCGTGCGCAAATTCAAGAGCCTCCGAGTCCGCCAAAGGACATCAGTAAAACATCCTTCCACAACAGTCGCTGCACTGATGATTTGCCTCTCAAATCACCATTGTCACGAGTTGGTTCCCAACCCACCCTAGGCCTATGAACAGCACGAGCAAAGTCTTGCAAGGTCGCTGAAAGTATATCATGGAACCTGCCATTCCACTCTCCAGCCCACCACTCTCCACCACTTCATGTTGTTCCTTTCAAGGTCAGGGACGACTTCTTTCGAGACCAGGCGGGGTGGACACGGTGGTGAGCGATGCGGTGAAGATGTGCTTCCAACAGCTGAACATGGATGACTCTTTGAAGACATGGATGGACGAAAGCCTCTGACAGAACCTTTTGACTCTTCTGAAGACGACATGTACAAAACGACCATCCATGGAATATATATGTCTAGATTGATTGGGGTGGTTTCAACACAATCTAGGTATATAATATAAATTATATATACATATGTTCCATAGATTTTTGGGTGGTGTTGTTCCTTTCAATATCGAAGTCGATCGGCCAAGTCACACGGACTCATGGGATACTCAGACACTCGGGTGGTGACTATCGAGTTGGCCACATGGGCCTGTCGCTTTAGGTGAGCCGTAAACGAGTGTCCTTTACTTTGGTGGTGCCAGTTTGACATCATCAAACTGGACTTCTAGGTGGATTGGATATCTCCACACGACGAGGGTTGTGAAGGTGTTTGGTTGTTCTTATTTGTTCTACTTCCCCGGTCCCCGGTTTAGACAAGGATGTTCCTTTTCCCTGGACTGCCACTATGTTCTGATTTAGCCAGGATCGACCCCTGTGCAGTTCTAGGAAATTGTCTCCCAAGTTGGAAGTGGACGGTATGCCGCAGAAGAGTTGTGGTTCACCTCTGCAAATAAGTCTTTGCAAAAAGTTGACAGGCTACGGTTGAGAGTGTGTGTGTGTGCTTCTACTGTGGCAGAGGGTGTTCTTTGTGAAGTGTGAATCTATGAATTGACCGTTGACCCTGAAACTATCCCAATGTTGGTATGATATTGCATCATATTGCAATACATGGAATGTTTGGGTTTTGAGCTTGAAGTGATTCACAATGTCAAAGAAACAAGTTCTTTCCTATGGCTGCTGGCTTCCCAGTGTTTCCAGAGGTACAGGTTAACAGCTACTTTCAATCCTTATGTGGGATTTGGGACCCAACCGGTCCAGAATGTTTTAAATGTCCAAAAGGAGCCAATGGCCAGCTACGTAGCTCTGTCGACTGTCACGGGCCATATGGGGGCCGGAGCGTGTCTCAACCAAAAGATCTTTACTGCATGTTCACTGCCCGAAAAAGAACCAACAAAGAACAAACACATGTGTTTTTGCTTTCTTAATTGTTTCTACATGTTTCTACCAGTTTATGTGGTCCACCTGGTCTTCGAAAAGAGCACAGGATTCAAACCATTTGCTGAAAGGTGTTGCTTTCTTCGGAACGTGGGTGGGGGCCATGAACAGTTTGCTCCCCCAAAAGCCTGCTTGACTGTGAGTCACCTGGGACCTTTCCACTGGAACATTGAATCTCCCAGCTGGGAGTTCTTGGATGGCTTGATAGAGCTCTGGAGGAAAGCACTGATCCGCAGCTGGTGCCTGTTCCGTGCTAGGCGATCTTCCGTGCTGTGCGTGGAGTCCGGGCCCAATTCGGCATCAGCGCCTTGAGAGAAACGGCGGCGATCGCGAACGCCCGGTGGCGGGGGGTGCGTGGAAGCCAACCATTTTCCCAGAGCCACCTGTGAGTTCTTCCGTGTGGGGTTCCAGGCTCAGTTAGGGATCGGTGAGACCCCTTCGACCCTGACAATTGGAAACCCAAGAAAAACTCCTCTGAAGGTCCGCGTTTGGCATCACAACCTTTGATGTGATGAGATGTAAGGAGATGACCAGACATGACCAGACCATCCATGTATGAAATAGTATATTTTCCCAGCACCTTCCGAACTCGGGGTCACCAATTTGTGCCCCTGCACTACTCTTTTAGGTCGACACCGAGTTCGGAAGGTCCATCATAGACATGCATCGACTCCAAAAGCCCGTTCTACACATCGACTCCGAGGCGCCATCTTTGTAAATTGTAGAGCTCTTGATGAATCAACAAACTTCCCACTCTTCCCCCGTTTGAACTGGACATCCTCTTCAATATAGGGGAATATATATTAAACTATATCATATTATATATATATAATCAGAGGGGCTTGCAAAAATGACTCTCACTTTTTTTTGACTCTCAGTTTTCTTGTTTCTGACGCTAATGATATTGATACTAAAGAAGAGGGGGAGGAAAAAGATGAAGA